GCATGGCTGGCTGGGGAATTCTGGGAATTGAAGCCCACACATCTTAAAGCTGCTGAGGTTGAGAAACACTGCTTGCAGTCAAAGCGTGCTTTGTAGGATATGAACTGGCCTGCTGTTAACTGATGGGCAATCAATTCTCGGTGATCAAGCAAGAAGGTTTGCCAGTCTAAGGATGGTTAACACTTTGTTTCCAGTGCCACGATGGCATCAGACCAAAAAGCAAAAAGATCTCTGGGCAAAAAGTATTTCTGTCTGGACCAGGCATATCCCTGGTCCTGTTATATTTCTGAAACTGAAACAATAATAATATCCTTCTTTCACATTAACTACTAAGGGACGAGAAATGGAGGGCAAAGAGAGAATGCCTCTCCGCCTCCCTGCCTGGGTCACCCCAACAAGCAAGTGGACAGATGGTTCCATTTGCTTTTATTTGCAAAGACTAGATTTGGCACACTGCATCTTTCCCCGCTTGGCACCCTCCAGATGTGCTGGGGCTGCAACATCCCAGATTCCTAGCCAGCGGGGCCTATCCTGGCAGAGAATGGGGGAGTTGAAATCCAGCGGAGGCCAGAGTAGCAACAGGTCAGGTCTTGCAGATGAGGAAAGGGGGCACAATCGGGCAGACCCAAGGACTGGAAATCTTGGCGGGTGCCAGTTTGGGAAAGGCTGATATGCAAGCTCTTGGCACGTCCCTCCATCAACTTCATTTTCAACCTTTCAGATCAAAATCTGGTTCCAGAATCGCCGTGCTAAGGAGAGGAAGTTGTTCAAGAAGAAAATATCTCAGTTCAATGGAAACGGAGGCTCTGTGCGAAGCGAGTCACATTCTGCCAGCCCCGTGGAACTGCCCGCCTCTTTATTCTCAGCCACACATCCAATTAATGGATTGGAGCCTCTTGAAATCCTGCAGATCGTGGCTACGGACTGAGAACTAAGGAGTCTCTCGCGGCTGCTGGAAAGCCTTCATTCCTGCAAGAGGGTGACGGTCTGTGCCTTTTCCAGGTTGCAGAACTCTTGGAAATCTCTTCTGAATACTTGAATATCTGGGATTCGCTACCTAAAAACTGAAGACATGGACACTTTGCTTCAGAGAATGGTAACCGATAACACGATGCCAGCACCAAACCCCGTCCTGGATTGTTTATTCATCGAAGCATCTTTTGGAAATATGAACTTCGGGGGTCAGTACCACATCTGGAATTTTGAGAGCATGTCATGGGCACCCTCACAAAATGTCTGCCACTCACAAAACATACATTTCCTAGAAGACTAACCCACGAGGTTGTTCTTTCCCACCCCGTTTTTCCTGTTATTACCCCAACTCACCCTTTGTCTCTTTTTCTGATCAGACTTCCAAGCAAAGTACAGGATAGCTTTGCCCATCTTGTTTATTTTTTAGCACATCCATGGGGTCCATGTGGGGCCCAGAGGTGATCCTCCCACAATATTTCTTTTTAACTGACAGACTGTTGGAAAAAATAAAGGCAAGAGGGAGGGTGAATGCTCAAAGAGAGGTATGCAGGCACTTTGGTAACCACACTGTGAATTCCTGGCGGGATCTGTGATGGCAAGAGGACTTAATATTTGTCAAAAGATGGGAGGCACATGGGGTCCTAAGAGATGGGGTCCCATTGCACCAAAGCCTCTTCCTGATTGCAGATTTTTGGAAATGTCATATTCAGCTGTTTTTATTCTTATGTAGAGTGCACATTTTGGAAAGCTTTCGTGTACTGTATAGATCACAGATATATTCAATATAAGTGCAGCAAGAAAGAAGAGATGTATTTTTGTCAAAGTCATTGTGATCATAAAATATCATTTCAACAGGCTCCCGTTGGCATGTGTTATGCCTTGCACTATCATATTCCTATATATTTATCATTTTAGTGGGTAACATGTTTGGAAATAAATGCAATTTTTGTAAGGAGTTCTTTCAGGATGCATTGCTTGCAATTTTAACCTTTAGTCTTGTCCCAAGTCCTAAATTTGTCTCTCTTGTTAAGTGTCTTTCTCCTGCACTGTTGGGAAAAGGGAAGGTCTTTAGGACTGAGATGCACCCTGTTTTGGGGCCAAAGGCCACATCAAGGCTTTAGACAGCATCCTGGGGATTGCGCAGTTAGAAGTGCACAGCACTAAATCAAAGCATACATTTGAATTAATCTATTTACACTACAGTAAATTTTAAAAAATATTTATATGTTTATCTTCCATAGATTTTATTGATTCTCCCCTTCTACCATAGTAAACATTGCAGTACATTGGCAACTCTGGGAGGGACTTTGGGGGCTGCACCCAAATTGTGGGTTGATGTGTGTGTGGATGATGGAAGGAGATGACAGGAGAAAGTAGCCCATTGTCTCATCCTGGGAATTGTGAAAGGGAAAAACACCCAATCTGAAAATGCAAAGTGATCAATGTTTCTAGCAAATAAGCCCAAATGCCCATCACTCAGGTGAAGTCACCTGCCGACTGCCCCATTCTGGGAGAAGCAATAAACTCATCAGGAAAGATACATGTCACCAACATACATAGCACATCACACTGGGACACACACAACTGAAATTCAAATCACCAGATGGTCTTCCGTTCCTCGGTTTTGGAAGACAATCGACAAAAGGGAGGACAGAAAGCAAACAGAACATAGTATAGTTTACCAGGTAGGGTATCCTCCATTTTTAAGACTGTCTTTCTTCTTCTTCTTCTTCTTCTTCTTCTTCTTCTT